TGCCAGACACAGTGATGCAGCCATGAAATTATCAAATTCAATCTTGTCAATTTTTGCTGTGGTTGCTATTATTTATTTTTTATTTCTGTATATTTTAACAGTAAAATTTCAAAATGCAAGTGTATATTTGTGATGAATTTAAAAAGTGGACACTGATTAAACACGGAAAAAGTCCTTTTGAAGCTCTTTGTATGCAATCGTTTGTTCAGTATTGAAAATGGTGGAAAGTTAGATATAAATCAACATATACTACAGCTAAGCATAAGAGACGTATGATTTCTTCAACCTATACTGAAGAAAGTGACTTTAAGTGTTGTCGAGTAGATTTTTGACTCATAAGGACCCTGTATGACAGGGTAGAACTACCCCACAGGGTTTCTAGACTATAATTCTAAGGAAGCAGATCACCAGGTCTGAATGGTCACTGAAAGCGTTCAAATTCCCAACCTTTCAGTTAGCAGCTTGGCACTTAACCATTGCACCACCAGGGCTCCTTGAGAAAGTGATAAAATAACACAATTTTTTATTAAGAGAAATTCAAATTAAGGTGTAATAATTCCAGCAGAGGTTGTAATAACCTTCCACACTGTATGTCCTCATCAGTCTTTCAGCTCAAATGACTGTATCGGCTCTCCAGAAGTATTTTCTGATTCTAAAATTGCAAGCAAATTTTCAATTGCCTGGATGAAATCTACTGTAACAACAACAAAAAGTAATAGCTTCACTTACAGTTCAAGAGATTATCAATGATCTCAGTGCCTCACCTTTTTTCAGCATAACTATAAATGCAGATAATCACAAATCGGAAAGTATTTTCCCTTTGCTTCTGCAGTAGTCTTGTTGTGAAAAAGGCCTGCTTGTAAGGCTGTCAAGAGTAAAATCCTTTCTGGATAAGACCTCAGAAAAATAGCAACTTTTTGCACTCTTACTGAGTTAGAAACTGATGAAAAAAAGTGTACTGGTTTTGATGGAGAGATACAAATACAAATTTTGGTGGATGTTTGTGTAAAGGTGCAGACGCGTTTTTTCCAAGTTGCAGCAAAGCATGAAGCTGTTGTCTGTCCTGCCCATGTTCTGCATAATACTGCTCAAACAGCACCTGATGGTCTTCCTATTGACACTGAAGTAATTGCCATGAAATTCCTCTCTTACTTCAACATTTACACTGTTTGAGTTTCAATCAATAGAAATCAGCGATTAAAAGATTTTTTTAAAAATTTTGTTGGCATTTGGTATTCTTCATTTCTTCTGCACTCAAAAACCCATTGGTTCTTTTTTACAAATGCAGTTGACAGAGTTCTCAGTCTATTTAAAGCACTGAAATCATATTTTAATTCTGAAGAAAAAGCCCCCAAATTCCTGCTTACTTTTTAAATAATCCATTGAGTGAAGCCTAGTTACTCTTATTTCTTGTTCATAGTTTTCAATATCTCTTTAGCAATAGGATTACAAAATTGAAAGAAGGGCAAACAGTCTTATTGAAATATTCCATTGCTTAACAGAACCTGTTGAATGTGAAAGGATTGAAAATTTCATAACTGTCAGAGATGCTCCTAAAAGGGCCATTAGTAATGAACAGGAAAATAAACTCTGACTCGAAGGGGGTAATTATTATTGCACTTCCCATGTCTATCTTTTAAAATGAATTCCATGTCCTGAAGAATTTGATTCTTTTACATTTGAATGCTGGGTGGGTTTGAACTGCCAACCTTTCAGTTACAGCCCAGCGCTTAACCTTTGTGCCACCAGGGCTTCCTTTTTTAACACTACACATGATAATTCCATTCTGATTCATGGCAACCCTGTGTGTTACAAAATAGAACCGTTCCACAAGGTTTTGTTGGCTGTAATCTTTACGGAAGCAGATCTCCAGGCCTTTCTTCTCAGTTGCCACTGGGTGAGTTTAAGCAGTCAACCTTTAGGTTAGCTGTCTACCGCAAACGGTTTGGGCCACTCAGGGACCTGTAGTGTTAAACAAGTGCTCTTTTTCTGTCACTGGACAACATTTTTTAAAGTCATTGATCAGGAGATCCAATGTATTCTGAAGATCCTGATGAATGGAATAGCCAAATTATGCCATGAAAGATGGTTATTATGTGGTTCAACTCGTCAAATTTGAAGAACAATTCTCAACGCTACAACTTTATGCTGTTGTTGTTGTTAGGTGCCACCGACTCATAGCGACCCTATACAGAGTAGAACTGCCCCATAGGGTTTCAAAGGAGCGGCTGATGGATTCGAACTTACCACCGTTTGGTTAGCAGCCGAGCTCTTAACCATTGTGCCACCAGGGCTCCCCAATTAAAGAAAGAGGTACATAATTTTATATAATTTTTTTCAGATAAGCGACTAATAAAACTGTAGTATAAACATATCTTATGTCTGTACTTCATTTACTAATTCGGGCAACCTCCCCAGGAGCCTGAAATCTCAAATCCTCTTCCAACCGAGCTGGAGAGAGCTTAGGAGACGCGCCGCGTGCACTTTCTGGCTCAGGATGTGGAGCCGCCCGGACCTTCTGCGCATGTGCGCGGCCGCCCGCTCCGGGGAGTCTCGGTTCCCCGGGCGAGGGCCTGCGTGGGGCGGTCCCGGAGCCTTCCTGGACGCCGGCGAGGCGGACGCGACGCGGAGGAGGCGGCGGGTGAGTCCCGGAGGGCTGGGGCGTGGGTGGATGGGTGTTCCTCACGGCTCGGGGGAGGGGAGCGGGACTAGGAGGGGCCGGCCTTGCGCTCAGACCTCGGTTGTCCTGCGCCCTTGCGGGCACCTGGTGAGAGCTCGCGGGTCTGAGCGCTTGTCCGTTTCCTCCCTAAGGTGAAGGGTCCCCGGGTCTTGATGAGAGCTCATGGAAACCGGCCTGGCGGCTCCGATGGTCCCTTCTCTTCTAGGCGGGGGCCTTGTTCTTGGAGCTCAGGATCTCGCGTAAATCTCCCAACTGTGGCTGCTGTTGAGTCCCCACTGTAATAATGAGACTGAGCCTCGGAGAGGTGACAGAACAGTCGGGCTGGCGAATGTCGCAGATGAACGAGCAAGGATCGATTCGGTACTTCATGGTCTGCCCCGCATAAAACCGTAACAAAGGGCAACCATGGAGTCTCTGGGTGGTGCACACAGTACCGGCGCTCAGCTGTTTACCTGTAGGCTGCAGATCAGAGTCCACCCAGAGACACTCGAAAGAACGGCCTGGTCATCTACTTACAAAAAATGAGCCATTGCAAACCCTGGCCCTCACAGGGCGACTCTGACGCACAGGGGGTTGCCGTGAGTCGGAGTTGACTCCACTGCATCCAGTGCTTTGTTTTTAAATTGTGCTTTAAGTGAAAATTTACAGAGCAAGTTACTTTCTCAGTCAACAGTTTATACACAGATTGTTTTGTGACATTGGTTGCAATCCTGGCGATGTGCCCACATTCTCCGTTTCACCCCAGGTCCCCCATTTCCGTTCGTCCAGTTTTCCTGCCCCTTCCTGTCTTCTCATTTTGCTTTTGGCCAGGTGTTGCCCATTTGGTCTCATTTCCATGATTGAGTTAAGAAGCACGTTCTTCACGTGTGTTATTGTTTGTTTTGTAGACCTGTGTAATCTTTGGCTGAAGGATGAACTTCTGGAGTGGCTTCGGTTCTGCATTAAAAGGGTGTCCAGGGGCCATAGTCTTGGGATTCCTGCAGTCTGTCAGACCAGTAAGTCTGGTCTTTTTTTGTGAAGTTGACCGGGTTTTTAAGGGCAAGCCTGGGTCTCTTCCCGCAGTCAGCAGCTTCATGGCTCTAATGCCTCAAGGAAATAATTTTGAGTGAATGTGACATTGGATTTGGGGAATTTCTTGTCTGTAAAGAACCGGTAGGTTAGGCACATAAATGGAGGTGTCCAGGTCCCCCCAACACTGCTTGCCTTGTCTGTGTCCTTGATGGCACCAGTTTACATTTACAGAAGATCTAGCTGGTGATTCCAGGAAGATCCAAGAGGTTTAGAACCTGGATGAGGATTCTAACTAAAAGACTTAGGGTCCAGCTCCCTTGGAACAAGGAAGCTCTTGTGAGGTGAGAAGTAGGGTTCTAGGAGCAGGAATCCCTCCTAGAAGGACACCTAGCCAGCTGACCTGAGATCTCAGCAGAGATCGAGACCTCAAGTGGAAGGTCCCAGGAGCTTTGATTTGCTCAGCCAGAAGCAATTCAGGGTCCTCCAGTGAGAGCTGGATGGTGGTGCCACATACAGAATCCCTCACACAGTGGGTGATGGTGGAGGCTTTGGACCAACTTTTAGGATAGAGACGTGAGCTGTGGTTGGGGGAAGAGGGCAAAGGAGAGGGAATAGAAAATACTGCTTCTTGAGGAGATGTGAGGGCAACATGGGGGGAAAGGGGGCAGGGAAAGCTGTCCAGCCACAGAGAAGGGAAGTACCTCCCCTATCCCTTCATTCTTTACTCGCTCTTTCTAGATTCTGAGGTACCTATGCACCATGGCACAACTGGAGATATGCTGATACCCCATCTATGGTACTGTAAGAAAGGACTCTTAAGTCTTATCTTTTTTTGCTTTATTTAAAAGGTGGGCATGGAGAGGAAGGAAATAGGCCTAAAAGGTTAAGTGACTGGTTAAGGGCACACTTTTTTTTGTGTGTGTGGCAGTTAAGAGCAGACATTGAGTCTCTTTTCTGCTTTGACAATAGGTAAGAAACCAGTTAGTTTTTTAAATCCAGAGATACTTTTGAGAACCTAAAACCCAGTTAGAGCTCTTTTTTTTTTCTTCCAAAAAAGTCCAGGCCTTAAAACACCCCTTTTTTTCAGAACCTTTTTGGGGTTCTCTGGCGTAGAATAAACATTACAGACTATTTTTCTCAGCATCAGTTTTAATGAATGCAGTATGTTCCATCCTTTGACTTATCCTAAATTGAATTAGTTTAATGTGTTGATTTACATTTTTCTGTGTTAGCGTGGAGCATAAATTGTTTTCAGTAGAAAACAATATTTTTATTTGCCTAATGAAAAGGAACATGTCCAAGCACCACGTAAGTATACCAAAGTCACACATGGGCATATGGGTGCTCCCTCCCTCACTGTTGTCCATTCTGCCCCTTCTAAAGGAATTTCCCATACAGAGGCATTTTGCCAGCTGCTGTGTGGAGCTGTTTAGGCAGGTGAGTCCAGGAGTTCTAAGACATCTCTCATGATGTTTTCTTGTCTCTCAACTGTGCTCTCACAGGTCTCTACATTCTTCCAAGACCAGCGGAAAATGATCACATCCCAGGTGAGGTGTTCATGTGTTCACCATTTTGCTTAACAGTGATTCTGTGGGGCTTACAAAATGTCTACACATTCATATGAAATAATGGAAATAAATATTAGTTAACATCAGGGAAAATAAAAAGCAGAGGTAAGCAAATTACAGTCCATGGGACAAATCTAGCCCATTCCTTGTTTTTTTATGGCCCACAAGCTAAGAATGTTTTTTACACTTTTAAATAATTAAGGAAAAAATCAAAAACAATATTTTGTGATGTAAAAAGTAGATAAAATTCAAATTTCACTGTCTGTAAGTCAACTTATATTGGGACATACGCACGCCTATTTGTTATGCATTGTCTGTGGCTACTTTCTCACTGCAAGGACAGAGCTGAGTGGTTGAGACAGACTGTACAGCCCACAAGCCTAAAATACCTACTATTGTTATTGTTGTTGTTGTGGTTAGTTGCTGTTGAGTTGACTCCAGCTCATACTGCTTGGCCCTTTACAGAAGGTGTTTGCCGACTCCTGATACAGAGTAGAAGGTCAATAGTAGGGCAAAGATGTCATGTCGGTAAATGCAGATCTTATGGTCTTACTGAGTTATGATACTGGAACATTAAAAAAAAAAAATTATGAACTTCCAATGACAATCCTGCAATTACATAAAGAAGTGGTAGGAATGAAGTGAATAATTTTTGTCCATTTCCAGGGAAAAAGTTAATAGATAGCAGAAGGAAGTATGTGGTTAAATAATTCAAATGAATTGTGCCAGCGTTAGGACTCCAGGGTATTCCAGGTATGAATCCAGGTAGAATGGGGCGATCCAGAGTGGTTAGTGGGATGAGGTGGGCTCTGTGATTGCCCTGGTGACTGGGCAGGATCTGAGTCATTGCAGAGCCTGGCCAGGTACTCTAGCTGGAGAGAGCAGCACCTGATGGACTGATGAAGGCACCTGCAGGGCCCGGAAAGCGTCTTTACTTAGATCAGTTTCCTGTCAGGGAGTAATGAGAGATGGCATAGAGGTCAATGCTGGGCCATCGATGCTGTCATGAAGAATTTAGGGTTTATAATGTGAAGAGTTGAGTCCTATTGAATAATATTGGAAAAGTCATGATTAAAAAGTTGCTTTTTATCAAAAAGTGTGAAGGGTATAAAAGGGAGGAAGTCAGAGCTAAGATGACTCTAGAGCAGTGCTTTTTTTTCTTCTTTAATCTCCAACACACTAAAAAAAATGATGAGATATAGTACTAGAAAAATAATATTAAAAAATCAGATATTTGAAATAAAAACCCAATTTAAAGAAAAAAAAAAAGATTCAAGAGACATAAAAGCACTCTGTGAAATTGCTGGAAACATTTCTGAACAATTCCTCCCGACTTTGGTGCTCATCTCCTTGGGGCCGGTCTGGGATGCTGTGAACTGAGCAGCCTAAACTACGTCATAACACTTTAAACAGCTTGGCTTCAGAATTTTTTGTGGGTATTATTGGCAAATGGTGTCTGTTTCTCGGATGTAGATGTGTCTCTGTGATTGACATCAGGTTCACAGCCTGTAAATGCATGTTTCATTTCTTAATGAGTGGCCTTGATCGAGTTCTATTTATTTCACTTTCTGTAAACCAATCTTTTATCTTCTTGACTTGTAAGAGGTCCTTATATGTTAACCAGTTTAACACTTTCCTGACATGTGGTTGTTGGTAGCTGCCATTTAGTTGGCTTGGAGTCATGGTAACCTTAGGTATAACAGAACAAAAAGTTGCCTGGTCTTGAGCCATCTTCATGATCGTTGATGTGTTTGAGACCATTGCTGCAGCTATTGTGTTAGTCCATCTAATTGAGAGTTTCCCTTGTTTTCATTGGCCCTCTACTTTACAAACATAATGTCCTTTTCTAGCGATTTGTCTTTCCTGATGATACGTCTAAAGTAAGCAAGTCAGAGTTTTGCCATCCTAGCATCTAAGGAGCTTTCTGGTTGTATTTCTTCTAGTACTGATTTGTTCATTCTTCTGCCAGTCCGTGATATACTTAATATTCTTTGTCACCAAAACCACAGTTTGAATGCATCGATTCTTCTGTCTTTCTTTTCCGTTGTCCAACTTTTGCATGCATATGAGGTGATTGAAAAGATCATGGCTTGGGTCAGGTGCACCTTACTCATCAAAGTGACATTTTTGCTTTTTAAATCTTTGAAGAGGTCTTTTGCTGCAGGTTTGCCCAATGCAATATTGTGATGGTTAAGATTGTGTGTCAGCTTGGCTGGGCCATGATTCTCAGTGTTTTAATGTGATCACTCCCATGATTGAATCTACTGTGAGTAGCCAGTCAGATGAAAGGCAGTCTCCTTGGGGTTGTGGCCCACATCTGAATATAAGCAGATGTTCTGGCTTTTTTCTCACTTTGGATCCTGCGGCTGCCTCCTGTCATCTCATCTCCGGTTCTTGGGACTTGAGTGGTCAGCTTATCTGCCGAACTTGGGATTCATCGATCTTCACAGCCTGTAAGCGGAGCCCTGCTCTCTGACCTGCTGATCTTGGGCTCACTGGCTTCTAAGGCTGCGTCACTTGGAAGAGGCCTCTACCCTGATCCATGGACTTGGGGCATTCTAGCCTCTACAATCGCATGAGCTGTTTCCTTGATATAAATCTCTCTCTCTGTATATTTATACGCTTTACTGGTTTTGTTTCTCTAGAGAACCCAACGCAAGACAAATACGTTATTTGATTTCTTGACTACTGCTTCCTTGGGCATTGATTGTCGATCTAAGTAGTTTGCCAACTTGATTTTTTTTGCAAGTTTCAATTTATTCCTTTTCATTGTCATTTTTGAAAAAATAAAAAACATAGAAAGTTAATTGTCTTCGCTATCTAGTGCTGCTGTAACAGAAATACCACAAGTGGACGGCTTCAACAAACAGAAGTTTATTCTCTCACAGTCTAGTAGGCTAGAAGTCCGAATTCAGGGTGTCACCTCCAGGGGAAGGCTTTCTCTCTCTGTCGACTCTGGAGGAAGGTCTTTGTCATCAGTCTTCCCCTGGTTTAGGAGCTTCTCAGTGCAGGGACCCTGGGTCCAAAGGACATACTCTGCTCCTGGTACTACTTTCTTGGTGATATGAGGTCCCATTGTCTCCCTGCTCACTTCTCTCTTTTATATCTCAAAAGAGATTGACTTAAAATATAACCTAATCTTGTAGATTGAGTCCTGCCTCATTAACATAACTGCCTCTGATCCTGCCTGATTAACATCATAGAGGTTAGGATTTACAACACATAGGAAAATCGTATCAGATCACAAAGTATTGTATTGGACAACCACGCAATACTGGGAATCATGGCCTAGCCAAGTTGACATACATTTTTGGCAGAAACAATTCAATCCATAACATCAATAAAGAATAGGGTAATTGGTAACTTAAATCCTCTCAACGGGACCAATAAGCAACATCAGGATAAATGGAGAAAAGATTGGAGTTGTCAAGGATTTCATTTTACTTGCATCCACAATCAACACCCATGGGAACAACAGTCAAGAAATCAAAAGACGCATTGCATTGGGCAAATCTGCTACAAAAGATTTCTTCAAAGTGTTGAAAAGCAAAGATGTCACCTTGAAGACTAAGGTGCTCCTGACCCAAGCCATGGTGTTTTCAGTTGCTTCATATGTGTGCGAAAGCTGGACAATGAGTAAGGAAGACTGAAGAAGAATTGACGCCATTGAATCGTGGGATTGGAGAAGAATATTGAATATACCATGGATGGCCAAAAGAACTAACAAGTCTATCTTGGAAGAAGTACAACTAGAATGATCCTTAGAAGCAAGGATGGCGAGACTACGTCTTACATACTCTGGACATGTAATCAGGAGGGATCAGTCCCTGGAGAAGGACATCATGCTTGGTAAAGTAGAGGGTCAGAAAAAAGAGGAAGACCCTCAACGAGATAGATTGAGGCAGTGGCTGCAATGATGGGCTTAAGCATAAAGATTGTGAGGATGGTGCAGGACTGTGCAGTGTTTTGTTCTGTTGTACATGGGGTTGCTCTGAGTCGGAACTGACTTGACAGCACTTACCAACAACAACAACAATTGGTAACTGTTCCGCGTCCTTGAATTAACAACTATAAATATTTTTTATATTTACTTTCAGTGACTTTATCTCCATGTATGTACTTTTTAGAAGCTTGGGTGATAAAAGCAGTTAGCGATCAGCTGCTAACCTGGAAGTTGGTGGTTCAAACCCAGCCAGTGGCTCTGTGGAAGAAAAGGGCCAGCAATCTGCTTCTGTAAATATTACAGCCAAGAAAACCCCATGGAACAGTTCTGCTCTGTAACACATGGGGCCACCATGAGTTAGGGGCCGACTTGATGGCAGTTAACAACAACATGTACTTTTTAAAATCTCCATTTTAAGAGTGAAAATGAGGCATTTTAGATAAAATTCCCTTTGACTATTCTTCCCAGTTCCCTTTTATACCTTGATGTGATGATTCCCAAGATATTGATACTTACTCTTCTAATTCACTCTTCGTACTTCCACATGAATGTATTTGTATAATTGAAAGACAAATATTATTTTGGGTGCTTTAAAATATTTACATAGTCAGGGCCTGGCAATCTACTTCCGTAAAGATTACAGCCAAGAAAACCCAACCAAAAACCAAACCTGTTACCATCGAGTCCATTCTGAGAACTGAGTAGAACTGCCCCATAGGGTTTCCTTTTGGTTGGCAGCCGAAATCTTAACCACTCTTGACACCAGGGTTTCCCAAGAAAACCCAGTGAAGTTGAGTTCAACTCTGTAACAAATGGAGTTATGAGTTGGAATTGACTCAACGTCAGTGGATTTAGTTTTTCGATTTTATAATGTATATCTGGTTTTGTAACTTTTTTCCAGTCACTGTTGAATTTGAAATCTATGTACGTTAGTTGATATGAGTAAATTATTCCTTTTTTATTAGAATTATTTTAAGTTTTAGTAGTCAAAATGTAGAAGCTTCAGATTAGTGTTCAGAAACAATACTTTCTCAGCAAAGTCTGCTGGTGTCGTGGTTAAGATCTCGGCTCCTAACCAAAAGGTCAGCAGTTCAAATCTACCAGCCGCTCCTTGGAAACTCTGTGGGGCAGTTCTACTCTGTCTTGTAAGGTCGCTATGAGTTGAAATTGACTCAATGGCACCTAACAACAACATCAACTGTTAGTTTCACATTTATTGTTTTATTTTATTGTGCTTTAGGTGAAAGTTTACAGAGCAAATTAGTTTCTCCTTCAAAAATTTATATACAAATTGTTTCATGACATTGGTTGCAATCCCCACAATGTGTCAGCACTCTCCTACTTTCCACCCTAGGTTCCCTGCTTCCATTCATTCAGTTTTCCTGTCCCTTTCTGTCTTGTCATTTTTGCTTTTGCACAAGTGTTGCCCATTTGGTCTTGTATACTCGATTGATCTAGGAGCACTTTCCTCACGTGGGTTACTGTTTGTTTTATAGGCCTATCTAATCTTTGGCTGAAAGATGAACTTGGGAAGTGGCTTCAGCTCTGAGTTAGAAGTATGTCTAGGGGCCATAATCTCAGGGGTTCCTCCAGTCTCTGTCAGACCAGTAACTCTGGTCTTTTTTGTGAATTTGAATTGTGTTCTATATTTTTCTCCCACTTTGTCCGGGACCCTCTACTGTGATTCCAGTCAGAGTGGTCTACATTTATTGTTCATGTTTTTTCCACGTGCATTTTTGAGGCATCAGAGGTAGATGTGTGTTCTAAGTCCACCATCTTAATTGGAAGTATCAGTTGTTTGTGAAATTGTCTCCTCTTTTATTTTTCACTACTCTCTTGTCTTCTGGTTCTGTTCTCAGTTTTCAGAAAATTCCTTCTCAGCCTTCATAGTCTTTTTTTCTTTTTCTGCCAGGCACTTAAATGTTGATGTCCCCTCAAATTCTGTGCTGGTATTTTTCTTGCCTCAATATTTGTCTCCTTTGTGAGCTTCTGATTCACTCGGTACCCTCAGTGATGCAGAGTTGCCATTTTTTCATGATAGGCCTCTTTCTTGAGCTCCAGAATCATCTTTCCAACCTGCAAATGGACATCTTCATTTCTGTGTTCCAAAGACATTATTTAGAGTGCTGCATGTCCAGCATCAGTCTCCTTGTCACTCTGCACCCACCCTGCTAACCTCTAAGGCTGCCCACGCAGAAGCTCTGGGAGTAAACCTTTCTCTCTCTGTGTAGTGTGTCCCTGCTCTGCATCTCCACTACTGCTCCCTGAATATGGATGACCCAGCTCTGGCTCTCTCTCTAACATAGTACCTATGTTTACTTTAGGAACATTGCTCCACAGTGAAAATTGATTGTGTGACTGGGACTCAGGTGTGTATTTGCAGTTCACCATTGGCTTCCCATTACATCAGTGATCTGGAGGGAGGGAGGGCAGGTCAATGATTATGCCCCAAGAAAGTATGCAAGATAATCCTATATTACTTACTATGTGAGTGATTAAATATTTTGGGAGATCGGTAACAGGATTAAAGCCAAATACACTCCTTAGTCATTGTTGTGCCCTCCCCTCCAGCTTTTATCTCATTACAGGTTCAGACCTGTTTTCCTGTCCGGTTATGCAGTTCCATGACCTTGCCACGTGTTTTTTTCAGATCTTCTTACCGTTTATGATTTTGCTTCATATTTGCGAAGAAACTATATTTGTATTTAACATATCTTCAGTAAAATCCAAGGTGCTGACCCACTCAGCCATGAACTTGCACAAAACTCCTTTATGATACCTGTCTGAATTGCACATATTTGTGGTGTGGATCCTTAAAGTCCTATGGTAGGTATGTCTTTGTATGTGTATTCATGAGAGAGTAAGTTTCTTGAGATAAGGAAGAGTATTTTATTCAACTTGGAATACTCAGAAAGTAATATTTTAAGCACATGTGGGCACTCTGATTTTTTACACTAAGTAGGAAATTAATTCACTGACATGGTATTTCCACTGTTATTTCTTTGTTACCTACAAAATACAACACAAAATAAGGCATATAGTAGAGATCCTTTGTAACATTTTCTGGTCAATTTTCAACAGTAAAAATGATAAGAATTTGCTCCTTAAATACCTTTTTCATATCATCCAATTGTGACCATTCAGACTGAGCAAAAAATACGCTGTTCCAGGGGTCAGTATCATTCAGGGATGTGACTGTGGGCTTCACCCAAGAGGAGTGGCAGCACCTGGAGCCTACTCAGAGGACCCTGTACAGGGATGTGATGCTGGAGAATTACAGCCACCTCGTCTCAGTGGGTAGGGATTGTTTCCCACGTAAATTCCCCATATGCATGGCCCTTTTTACTTAGAGAAACTTGTGGAATTTTTGTAGAATATAATAATAGTTATGTTTGAGGTTCAGCGATCAAAGATCCATTTTGGGTACCAGAAAAAATGTGTTTTTTCAGCCCCATGAAGGATTAAATGAACCTTTTATTGTGCAGTCTTTAAGGTATATTACCCTCTTCCTTCAGAGGCCCTGAAACCCATTAAGCTTGTCCCAACTCATATAATTCTCATTCACAGGATATTGTATCTCTAAACCAGAAGTCATCCTCAAGTTGGAGCAAGGAGAAGAGCCATTGATATTAGAGGAAGAATTCTCCAACCTGAGCTACCCAGGTGAGTTAGTAACTTTGAGCCAGATGGAATTTAGGGAGAAATCAGTTCGCAAAGGGTGTTAGTTTAGAGGTTGTCGTTAGGTGCCATCAAGTAGGTTCTGATGCATAGAGACCGTATGTACAGCAGAAAGAAACACTGCTTGGTCCTGTTCTACTGTCACAGTCGTTGCTATATTTGAGCCCACTGTTGCAGCCTCATGTCAGTCCATCTCATTGAGGGTCTTCCTCTCTTTCACTGACCCTCTACTTTACCAAATATGATGTCCTTCTCCAGAGAACGTGAGGACTGAATTTTTTCTTCAGTTCTTTCATCTTGAGAAATGCCAAGCATTTTCTTCCCTTTTGGTTTTCTAACTCCAGGTCTTTGTACATTTCATTACAGTACTTTGTCTTTTCGAGCTGCCCTTTGAAATCTTCTGGTCAGCTCTTTTACTTCCTCATATATTCCATTTGCTATAGCTATTCTGTGTTCAAGATCAAGTTTCAGAGCCTCTTCTGACATCCATTTTGGTCTTTTCTTCTTTCCTGTCTTTTTAATGACCTTTTGCTTTCTTCATGTATGATGTCCTTGATGCCATCCCACAACTTGTCTGGTCTTCTGTCATGAGTGTTCAGTGCATCAAATCCATTCTTGAGATGGTCTCCAAATTCAGTGGGATATACTCAAGGTCCTATTTTGGTTCTCCTGGACTTGTTTTGATTTTCTTCAGCTTCATCTTGCATTTGCATATGGGCAATTGATTGTTCTGTAGTTGGCACCTGGCCTTGTTCTGACTGATGATATTGAGCTTTTCAATTATCTGTTTCCACAGGGGTAGTCTATTTGATTCCTATGTTTTCCATCCAGGAGGTCCACGTGTATAGTCACCATTTATGTTGATAAAAAAGGTATTTGCAAAGAATAAGTCGTTGGTCTTGCAAAATCTATCACGCGATCTCCGGCGTCATTTCTATCACCAAGGCCATATTTTTCAACTACTGATCCTTCTTCTTTGTTCTCAACTTTTGCATTCCAATTACCAGTAATTATCAATACATCTTGATTGCATGTTTGGTCAACTTCAGACTGCAGAAGTTAGTCAAATTCTTCAATTTCTTCTTCTTTGGCCTTAGTGGTTGGTGCATAAATTTGAATAACAGTTGTATTAACTGGTCTTCCTTGTAGGCATATGGATATTATCCTATCACTGACAGTGTTGTACTTCAGGATAGATCTTGAAATGTTCTTTTTGACGATGAGTGTGACACCATTCATCTTCAATTTGTCATTCCAGGCATAGGAAGCGATATGATTGTCAGATTAAAAATGACTAATACCAGTCCATTTCAGCTCACTAATGCCTAGGATATTGATCTTTATGCATTCCATTTCATTTTTGATGACTTCAATTTTCTCAGATTTCATATTTCATACGTTCCACATTCTGATCATTAAGGGACGTTTGCAGCTGTCTTCTAATTGTGAATCATGGCACATCAGCAAATGAAGGTCCTGAAAGCTTGATTCCATCCACGTCGTTAAGGTCAACTCTACTTTGAGGAGGCAGCTCTTCCCCCATTGTATTTTGAGTGCCTTCCAACCTGAGGGGCTCATGTCCCTCACTATATCAATGTTCCGCTGCTATCCATAAGGTTTTCACTGGCCAATTTTTTCAGAAGTAGACTGCCAGGTCCTTCTTCCTGGTCTTAGTCTGGAAGTGCCTCTGAAACCTACCATGGGTGACCCTGCTGGTATTCGAAATAAAGGGGCCATAGCTTCCAGCATCCCAGCAACACACAAGCCACCACTTTACAACAAACTGATAGACACATGGTAGCGCAAATCTTTTGGTGTAGTTTTCTTTGTTTTTTGCTTAGTGAATACAAGTTTCCTTGGTGACATAGTACTTAATGGTTATTGATTTATCATTTAAAAAATGACTCCTGAAAGTCTGGCTATTTACATGTTTGTAGCTATGAGACCCCTTGAAGACAAGTTTAAGGAACACGCAGTCTTTTTCGTTAAGTTGCAAGGTAATGAGTTTGTTACTGACTGCACCCTTTCCAAATCAAACCCATTGCTGTCAAGTCATTTCTGACTCATAGAGCCCTGGTAACACAGCGGGTAAGTGCTTGGCTGCTAAATGAAACATGGATGGCTCGAATCCCCAGCCACTCCATGGGAGAAAGATGTGACAGTCTTCTTCCATAAAGATTTACAGCCTTGGAAACCCTACGGGACAGTTCTTCCCTGTCCTATAGGGTCAGTATGAGTTGGAATTGACTCGGTGGCAATAAGTTTTTTTTTTTACTTTACACTTTTTAAGGTGGAAAAAAGTTATCAATGCTGCAAAGTATATTAGCAGTTTTGAAGTTTGGGGTCAATTTTTTTTTTTTTTTAGGCTCATGAGTAAGAGGAACAGCTTGAAATCAAAGTAATATGTTTATTTTTAATTTTATTTCACAGTCCCTTCTTTTGATCATGATTCAGTTAGAATCTTTGCTCAATCAAGTGTTAGCCAGGTACCATCTAGGTTCTTTGGGTCTCAGTAATCATAGGTGCTGCTTTATTAGATACATTTTGTGAAACATACATTATTTCTGTTGGTTCCTTAGCTTCTTCTCTTCAGTATTCTTCCAGTCAGAAGAAGATCATTTGATTTACCTTAAATGGCTGCTCACGAGCTTTTAAGACCCCAGATACCAAATTGCTTAGTAGCTTTATTATAATATAAAAGATCAAAAGGAGGAGAATGCATTAGCCAATGGTCTGAAAGACTTGTCTGGCCCATTAGCCCACATTTCCTAACCATGAAAACAAATCCCAAGAAGATGCAAGGGGACCATCTGCAACATGAACTGAATCTTCAGCATGAATTTCAGCTAAAACTATATCCTGATACACTTCCACTTGGGTGTCATTAATGTATACACAGTAATTTTCTTTTACCAAAGCTCAAACTCCTCCTTGGGAAGCAAGTAAATAATCAAGAGCTAGTCTATTTTGTAGTATCATTATCTGTGCTACTTCAGTAGAGAGAGAAGATAACAGCATCGCCTGGATCATTAACAGCTATCTAATTCTAGAGTCATTTTGTCTAACACTATTTGCAACCTTAAAACAATTTTTTTCACACAGGTTAAGCCAATTCCAGTAACTAAGGGAGCCATGGCTGCTATAGAACAGCAATTATTATGCTCTTAGTCAATGGACCCTTTTTTTTAAAAAAATTTTTTTGTTGTTCTTTAGATGAAGGTTTACAGAACAAGTAGTTTCTCATTAAACATCAGTACACATATTGTTTTATGACATTGGTTAACAACCCCACGACATGTCAATACCCTCCCTTCTCAACCTTGGAGGACCTTTTTTTTCGGTGAAAATATACATAGCCAAAGTTACACCATTTCAAAAGTTTTTACATGTACGTTTCAGTGACATCGATTACATTCTTCCAGTTGTGCTGCTATTCTCATTATCCTTTTCCAAATTATTCCATCACCATTATCTTCAACTCACTGCCCCCTAGGCTTCCCATCAAACCTTATGAGTTGCTGTTGTCAGTTTGATCTCACATAGATAATTTTTTTTTTTTGTACCTTAGATGAAGGTTTGCAGAATAGTTTCTCATTAACCAGTACGCATATTGCCCTATGACAACAGTTAACAATCCCACGACGTGCCAACACTGTCCCTTCTCAACTTTGGGTTCCCTATCACTGGCTTTCCTGTCCCCTCCTGCCTTCTAGTCCTTGCCCCTGGACTGCTGTGCCTCATTGGTCCCGTTTTGTTTTATGGGGCTGTCCAGTCCCTGGCTGAGTGGTTAACCTCGGGGGTGACTTCACCACTGAGCTAAAAGGGTGTCCGGGGACCATACTCTCGGGGTTTCTCCAGTTTCTGTCAGGCCAGTAAATCTGGTCTTTTTTTGTGAGTTAGAATTTTGTTCTACATCCTTCTCCAGCTCTGTCCAGGACCATTTGTTGTGATCCCGGTCAGAGCAGTCAGTGGTGGTAGCAGGGCACCATCTAGCTGTAGTGGACTCAGTCTGGTGGAGGCCATGGTAGCTGTGGTCTGTTAGTCCTCTGGACAGATCTTTTCCTTGTATCCTGTTCTCTTCATTCTCCCTTGCTTCTGAAGGGGTGAGACCAGTGGAGTATCATAGATGGCTGCTCACACACAGGCTTTTAAGACCCCAGACGCTACTACCAAGGTAGAATGTAGAACTGTGTTATGCCACTTGAGCTAGCTGTTCCCCGAGACCATGGTCCCCACAGCCCTTGGACCCTTTTTTGATAGTTGTTCTGTCAGTTGTTTAATGACTTGTTCACAATCACTAGAAGTCTTAGCCTTTCTCATAGTTCAAGTTCTCCCTTTGAGTAATTGATTATAGACTCATAAAGCATAATCTATGTAAGAAGAACAAGTTCACTATGCAGGTAGAAAACAAAACCATTAGTTGTCTGTAGTTCACAAAAGATGTAAAATAGCTCAAAGACATTGAATAGAACCAGAACTTGATAGCCCGCAAGAGCTTGCCATAATTATCTATTGTAACATGAAATTTCTCTCTACAGTCACCCTCCTCTTGATCAAAAGACAGTATCAAAGCAAAGTTATTTTTGATCTAAAAATAAAGCTGTTTATCGTTATTTACATAGGTAAAGCAAGACTGATAATTTAGCAAGAATGATAATTTATCATCTATGGATTTTCAATTTGCTTTGCTGGAAGTTTTTTTATAAGAACTTAAGATTAAACATGTAAAAGCCTCTTGAGACTAGGAAGTCAAGCCAAGAACTTGCCATCAGATTTCAAGTACTCACAGATTTTGGTGAGTTCCTCTTTTCTCGAGGTCTCAAAATATCGTATGATTCCTGGGCTTGCCAGGAAGTGACCTTTCTTACTCATTTGTCCAACTGGGAACCTTGTAAGTCACATGCCAGGCCAGTTTTCCTGGGAGGATTTTGTAAACATTGGCTCCATAAAGTCAATCTTAGTTCATTAAAAGTATCTGGTTATAC